GGGTGGGGAGAAATCCAATCTAAAAATATTGTCTCTTTCTTTCATTGCTATAAGCAAATTTGTTTTCTTGGACCATTTCTGCATTGCTTTACCTCTCTGGACATCCCTCCACCCTGTACTTGGTGAGGGAAAAGAATTGGGTTAGCAATCCCCTGCCATATCTTAGAAGGAGGGCTCCCATAATTTCCTGTGGGAGAAGACAAGGCCATTGAAATCAGTTTCCAACCTGTGGTAGCGACAGATGCATTGTACGTGCAAGGACTAATCCAATCCAGTCTTGGTAAGAAGGGGGAAAGTTTCTGATTCAAATGACTCAATGAGATCCGTCAGCCCAACATGGAACATTCCTTCCAGTGGGAATATAATTTCCTAGCCAAGGATTGTACTCTCTTAGGATATTTATACTGAGCCCCTGCAGGGCTAGCTTCATCCCGTTAGTGGGCTGTTTTGGATTCAAGATCACATACATTTAACAGTAGGAACACGCTCATCCCATTGTCTACTTTTGTTTAGGACGTTCACATTCTTTTATGTAAGAAATCTACTTCTGGTTTTCTGTCAAACTTTCTTCATCTCAGCAGAAGCCAAAAGCTTTTTTTTGGGCAAAGTTTTAAAACAACAGACTCAGGAACACAATCAATTCCAGTTTACCTTTTGCTCACATCTTGGATATAAGGTTACTACACTGCAATTTGACATTTCTTAGAATTAGGATTTGGATGAATTAAGGTTTGAAAAGTGCCAAGTCTTTGATCTTATCATTGCAGTGAAATCATTGAAAAAGCACCTAAGTGATCAGAGGGCTGGCCCAAAGTCATTCATCAGGCTAAATTTTCATTTCAAACTTAGAAGAAGTGTTGTAAAACATCTCAATTCCTAATTAAGAAATTACCAGAGTATTAAAAATATTAGTTACATTGTCAATTGTGTCAAAAGTCATAGATTGCATGTGCCAATTTTTTGATGGCCCTTCATTTAATAAAGATGTGAATTATTTATAGATGCTCATATGACATCCATTTTCCAAATGGAAATTGAGAACATAATGGAATTTAATGTTATTAATATGCAATCCTAAATGGCAACTTAAGAAAAGATCAGTTATAAAGTATACCTTCATTGCACTTGCTGCTGGTCAATTATAATTTTTTTCTTTACCAAGAAAGACAGAATACATTTTAAAAAGAATTCTATTTATTAGGGCACTGGAATACAGTGACTTTTGATGTACTTACATAGTTGTAACATGGTCTTTATATATTGTGTGTAATGGTTTGGAATTAAGAATTTTTCCTTTCATCCCAACCTGAGGAATGGGTAACGTTGTTGTTGGCTCTCAAAGATGTGTACAAATAGTTAATCAAATTATGAAGCTGTGGAAATATGGTTTCACTTATTAATTCCAGGTGTTTATATGAAAAGGGCCTTTTGGAAAAAAATGCACATTAATTATTGCTGCTGTCATCATATATATTCATAAAAAGAAGGGGGGGAAAAACCCTCTTCTGTGTGCCACAGTGTCACACTTGCAAGTAAATTTGAGTACATATTATAACTTGGAGGAACTTTTGGGTTTGCAGTACAGATGTTATGATAGAGAACCACGCATGGATTGATTAGGGTCCCAGAATGCTGGATGTCTTTTGGAAGCAAAAATGGAGAAGAGAGAAGGTATCAGGAATGTAGCTTCCAAGAGCAGGACATGGCTGGCTAATCAGAAAAGGAGAATTCTGCACAACGGCATATTGTTGCAATGCTTTTCTTTTTATTAGCCATTTTTATTAGCCATTTTTTGCCTTTGGCTAATAATAATAATAACTGAACTTGTAAGTGGGGGAAAAAAAAGTAACGGATTCTTTTGACACTGTTTCGTGCAGAGATTATATAATGCCATGTATTATATTTCATATGTGATTATGTAATAATGGAACCATGCATCAGAAGATTGTGGTGCCAACAGATGGAGCATATAGGTGCATTTGATCCACACATGGATTATTACTGCTGCCTTTAGGCAAAGTTTAGGCAGATGAAAGAAAAGGTAAATCTCTTTGAGGCATTAAGAATGTTTGTCAAAAATCAGGAGAAGTCTGGTGGCACCTTATTTGACTAACCTGTTTTATTAAGAGGCATAAGCTTTCATGAGCTACAGCTCGCTCCCTCAGATGCGTGGATGTCTGGAAGAGCTGCCAGACCCCTTCAGATTTTGGACTACCATAGGTGAACAATGTCTAAGAGTATCAGCGTCTCTCCTAATGGTAGATTTCCTTTCAGTGTTCATACTGAAATCGGCAGCAGTGCAAAAGTTGCTTTGACCTCCATCCATCTGATACTTTAAATGTGGTACCCTTTGGAGAGGTCAAAAACCAGGGCTTTATATTATTATCCCTTTTCTCCACACAGGGAATAGAAAAAGAAAAGGAAAGAGTCCAAAGATGGCTGCAGGCAATGACAAGGCATTAAAACATAATGGGCCCAATCTTTTGGGGGCGTAAATCAATGTAGCTCCAATGCTGTCAGTTGTGGATCCAGCTCAGGAGGTCAAATTGAGCATACGAGACCTCCTGACCTCCCCAAATAAATCTCTCCAAAACCCTCTTCACCTTCTCCAAGCAGCTCAGAAACCCTGGGAGAGGGATAGACAGTTTGCAACATATCTCCCCTGGAACCAAATCCCCATTTCCTGTACAGTAGTCCAATTTTTCTCTCCTTCTGGGTGGTAAAGACAAAGAAGCACAGAATATACCAGCTTCACAGGGCAGGAATTGGAGCCAGGAAAGTGTCCAGGAAATTGATGCATCCTGTATTTTGTGGTGGCTTGTAATGTAGACTTCAGTGTCTTTGTATTTACTAATACAAAGTGAAGTCTACTTTGCTTTTCTGCCTCCAGATGCCCTGTGAGGACAGCTGATGCAAGATGATGTACATTTCACCTGGCAGTCAGGAGTGTTTATTTAGGGATGGACATGCCTTCTGAATCCTGCAAGATGCCAAAGGTGAATATTCAGCATATTTATAAATGCCCTCTACATTTAACAAAACCACAACACTTTAGGATACGTACGGACTTTCTGCATATGACAGAATAGCCTCAGTGCATTTTGCTAGTAACTATGAAGATGATGAGGATGATGATGATATTCTGTTGGATTTATAGCATGCTCTATGTTCTAACAGAAAATCCACACAATCACAATGAGATTCTGAAGAGCTCTGGTTATCTAAAATAGGGCTGAGCTGGCCCTACCATTGGGCAGAACAAGATGGGTATCTCAATGATGGAAGTTGTCACCTCTTAATAATCCTTAGAGAGATAGTATAATTTTAATAGCTAAATACATTCCTAAATGCCAAAGAGGGGATGTCAATGCAAAGTGTTCTGCTCAAACAGCCCAGTGGCACCTAATATAACCAGATATGGCCAACTATGAAGAGCAAAAGTCCTATCTTGCTTTTTGTCCCAGGCAGCAAAATATGTTGGCCAAGCAATGAATAGTGCAGACGCCTTACTACCCCTCCTAATTTGCAACACAGAGGGTGCTACTTCTCCGTGACTCATTCCCATACCTTGCTCAAAGCTTTAGAGAGCTGTATACACAGATGGAGTCTCAAATGCTGTACTCCTAGTTCAGAAACATTATTTCTTTATTTGGTTGCCTTTGAGTCAGCGTTGATTCCTGGTGACTACCTGAACAAGTCCCTGCAGTTTTCTTGGCAAGGTTTTTCGGAAGTAGCTTGCCACTGCTTTCTTCCTAGGGCTGGGAGAGAGTGACTGGCCCAAAGTCACCCAATTGGCTTTGTGCCTAAAACAGGACTCACGGTCTCCCGGATTCTAGCTTGGTGCCTTCACCACTACACCAAACTTGCTCTCTTAGTTCAAAGATAGGATCATACTTAATCATGAAAATCCCTGCCAGCTAGAACATTATTACAAATTTGGATATAAGTTTCAAGCTATTTTTAATGTAAAGAAGATGACAACGGTGGGGATAGTGATGATAGGTTGTAGCTTTTCAAAGTCTTCAGTATATGGCATTTAGTTACACCATTCCCAACTGGAATAATATAATTGTTTCAGCCTCCTGCAGGTGGGAGGATTGAGGCTGAGAGAGAGTGAGGTGCACAAGGCCACCTGCTGAGCTGAAGGCATGCTGGAGAATTCAGGCACGTTCCATTTCCGTGAAGGCCCTGAGATCCCTGTCCTCCCTTTCTCCTGCTGGGAACAGCATTTGTTAACCTGGCCATCTGCCCTGGAGATCCGAGTCTAAACTCAGCTCTTGCAAAATGTTTTCTTATCTTTCTGAAAGGCTGTACTTTTAAAAAGGGTGATTCTTTCCATTTCCTATCTTACTTGAACTGAGTAAGATAAAGATGTCAACAGGTAAGTTATGGAGAAAAGCTATTCTTTGGTT